TTTTACGCTATTTTCATCGGGTAATTTGGTTTAATGTAGTAGAACACCTATTAGCGATATTCCTACCGAGGTGAGCAAGAATACACAGATTATGCGTGGACACAAAATTAACTTTCCCATACAATCTTCATTGAGATATCGCTGTCGAAATTGAGAAATTAGATTTATCTACCGGCATGCTAGGTGTGCTGACTCATGTTGAGTTTGAGCCTGTATAAAGTACCAGCGAAACACTCCAAGTTCCTGCGTCAACGGATACTTGCGACGGCAGAAGCTGTGGCCATATGACTCACAAACCCAATCTCATGTGCACAGAAGGCCTTCGTCGTGGCCCTACGGCTCCCATGGCCGAGAAAAAGCTCAAACTCAACATGCGTCAGCACACCTAGTAATTAGATTTACTTTCTTAGTGGAATTTAGATGGGCGTTCGCTTCGCCTCCAATCAATATTAGAATTGCGCTTTGCAAGACCAACGCGGCGCCCAGATTTAAACTAAGAAATATTTTCCTCCGGTCTATCTAAAAAACCAGATAGGCATTATTTCGGAGGACATTTTGGAACTTCATGTTGAGGTTATTGTCCTACTCCTACTAAAGTGGTATATCTAAGTCACTGTAGATATTTCTGTTGAAAATGAAGATTATCCAACTGTACATATGATGGTTTTGACACTTCTTGTTACGGTCTATATTTGGATTTAAGCCTAACTGCCGGTCAGTGTAACTGACCTCGAACTTTTCATAATTCATATTCTTGTTTAATATTACTTATTTTATATGTTTTATCGCATACATCACCTATTCGTTGGCAGTCTGTATAATTATACCTACTATGAACATTGCTTATTTTTCTATTCAAATTCTTAGCAGTTTATGTGGTTTTTTAAATATAAGTGAGCTAGCCACTTACTGCAACTTTGTAGTAACTTTTAGTTCGTCATTATTTTACCTGCTGATGCATCTTGTTTCGTATGGTCTCATTAGTGTGGTTGCTTGTGCATTTAAGCAATAACTGTGTGGTCGTACGATTTTGGATATTTTGTTTCATTTATGGAGGTAATTTTGTGGGGTTTTTATTCGTCCCACACAAAAACCCTATTTTCCCGGTCACGTACTACTGGCCTTCTTGTTATCGGTTTTTCAGAAGAGACCACTTTACTACACTGAAATCGGTAATCCCCTAGAGTGGGCCACGCCCTAAACCAACACGGGGCCATCGCAGAGTATGAAGGGTGATATTGGGGATGTGCACCCACAACGAATGTCTTCTAAGGGGAGGGGGGCTGGTGACATGCCTAGGTGCAGGCTCACGCAACAGCTACACGCGTCTCCTCCCGCCTGCGGTCGTATTAAATTTATTTTCACGTCAGGTCTAGGAGGATGAAGGGGAAGAGAGTGTGGTAGATACTATCAATAAAAACCGAAGACAGCGTCAACTACATCCTGTAGAAACTGCGCGATCAAACAACCAAGATGGTCTCAACTGACCAAGAAAGTTGAGAACTATGAGGAGAGAGACATTTGAGAGACAGAATGTGGACATACATTTAGACG